AAAATCGGAGGTTGACAGTAGACCCACTCACCTGATGAGGTAAGCAAGGTGAGGTTGACCGAAATAAGGTTGCCGAGTCCCTCGCACTTGCCTTGTGTCCTGCCTGCTGAGTCATCTCCGAAAACTGCCTGCCTAAGGTCTTACAGGGTGGTCAAAGTCCTCGTCCGTAATCCGAAACCTCAGCCTCGACTCTCTCCCACTACAACCCACTTCACGTCACTCGCTCGCCGCACGAAAGATCGTCGTCTGCATTCGCCGCAACGAAATCTCGAGAAAACGTCGCATCGACTTTTTTCAGAGCAACTTTGCGACCGTCGTATACGAGTCCTTCGAGCCGCGCGACCCTGGTACATTGCGCCGTACCATCTCAAGCCTTTGTTCGCCACTTCACACGTCTCGGACGCCTTCACTGGTAGAATCGGTCGGCTGGCAAACAAAGCCTTTCTCTCCCTCGTCTCCTCTCCTCCCTCCCCCGCAAAATCGTCTTTCGTGACTTCCGTCAAAGGACAATTCATTTGGTGAGAGAGGACATTCCTGCCGAAAGTCAGGAAGTCATGGCTCACCTTTATCTCTTGAAATAGTTAGGGCATCCCCGAGCGCTTTCGTCATTCTCCCGCTGAACGCCCACCCCGTTCATCAAGAAAACGCCGATCAAGTAGCCTGAGGATTCTCTATCTATATACATTCGCCTACTGCCTCGGCGTGGGATCGAGACTCGACCTCGGTTCCGAAGCAGCTTCTAGCATCGTCCTTTGAGACGATCGTTTATTGAGCGAAGTAGCCGTCGCCCAAAAAACACCGCCAAGCTGCATTCGCCGCTCTTCGTTCAGCTTCATACCGATCTTCTTTGGACAGCGCAAACCAGCGAGCCGACAGAAGAAACCTACCAAGCAGTCGTCAATAAGCGAAAAGAACTCCGGCGGAGAAGAAAGGAGCTCAGACGTCGTCGCAAAGTCTTCGACGAAATCAATAACATCTACACTGCTAAGCCGTACAAGCCCAAGATGCTCGGCCCCAATGGAGCCGCGACGGACGAGAATGCCGAGGGCTTTAAGGATGACCTCAACTGCGTCGTGATGTGTCCCGACTGCAAGGAGTACCCTCCCAACTTGGTTGAGGAGTTTTCCTCTGGCGACATGGTGTGTGGTTCTTGCGGCCTCGTCGTCGGAGACAAGATTATCGACACCCGCTCAGAATGGCGTACATTTGCCAACGACGACCAGGGCAACGACGATCCCTCCCGTGTCGGTGACGCCGTCAACCCCCTGCTCAACGGCTCACAGCTTGAGACCACCATCGCATTCGGTGATGGTAGAGACTCTAAGCAACTTGCCCGTCTCCAGAATAAGTCTCAGAACGACAAGGCTAGCAAATCTCTGATGCAGGCGTACAAGGAGATTGGTGCCTTCTGCGATAGTATCAACCTGGGCAAGAACGTCTCTGATGCGGCCAAGCACATCTTTAAGCTGACGTACGACCACAACTTCATGAAAGGCAAGCCGCAGGAGGCTGTCATCGCAGGCTGCATTTTCATTGCGTGTCGTCAGACTGGTGTCGGCCGTACCTTCCGCGAGATCTTCCAGGTCACCCATGTGTCGAAGAAGGAAATCGGCAGGGTTTTCAAGCAGCTCGAGTCTTTCCTCCAGAAGATCAAGGAGGAGAACCCGCGTGGTGCCGGCTCTCTTTCCAATCTGGACGGCTACAAGGCCAGCGCGTCTACCAGTGCCGAGGACCTCTGCACTCGTTTCTGCTCCAACCTCAACTTCCGCAATGCGCAGAAGATTGAAAACGTCTCGCGCGCGCTCGCACGCAAGACGTCGAGCGTCTCTGAGTTGGCTGGTCGTTCGCCTCTGTCCGTCGCCGCCGCCTGTATCTATATGGCATCTCACCTCATGAAGGAATCGAGAACCTCCAAGGAGATTGCCTCGGTGGCAGGCGTCAGCGACGGCACCATCAAGACAGCCTATCGGTTCTTGTATCAGGCTCGCGATAGACTCATCGAGAAGGAGTGGGGCGCGGACAAGAAGGCAATCGATAATCTTCCGGTTAACTAGAAGGTTTCTGGTCGCCTTTTCAACTGCTTAGACACTGCTCATCCCCAAGGCGAGGCAGAGGAAATGGCCTCCATCAAAGTCGAGGCGGGAGATTTCGGAGAAGACGCGAAACTTTTGACTATCAAATAGGAGTAGGACATCACGTCAAGACGAACTTCTGGAAGCCTCGTGCAGCCGGCTGCATTATTTTGGTCGTTGGCAGCGACTGCGAAACACAAAAATATCCATGGGCGTTTAGGGGTGGTTTCCCTGTGCCCGCCGTCTCAGTCCGTCGATCGGTTCTAGTCACCTGGAATGGTGCAACCTCGAAGCTCTTGGAAGATTAGAGCTGGAGGGTCCGATTGCCGACGAGACAGATTTGCTTTTTTGCTCGCTTGCGTGGTGAGGTTTGGGATGGAGACTCTGGAATTATTAGGACTGGGGTGGCTTAATTGCATAATCATTGCGGACATTCCCAGATTGCTGCTTGGTTTCTTTCTTACCAAGAGGATTCATAGCATAGACAGCACGAATCACAACATGCTTTCAGTCATGAGGTTGCGCTGATATTCCAGTGAGCCTGATATGCTTGACCAGAAATAGTAATGAGACGAGAAACAACAGTGAGGCCGTAGAGGTACAGCTTAACAAGGTTCTTTCTGATGAAGCAATTCGTAGATGGGCGTGTATACAGTGTTTAAAAGCCGTGCGATGTATGATTTACACTGACCAAACGACCAATCAGATACCACCTCAGTCCCCAATGACTTTTTCCGACCACAGGGAAAGCTGAGCCTTGCTTCGCGACGCGACTCCATCTACCAGCGCCGATTGACCATCGTTCAGCCTTGCACTGCACCGAACTTGCGAATTGCGCCCACAAATCTCCATCTCAACTTCACCATCCGCCTTGCGCCCTCGACACGCGCGCCTCACAATGTCCGGACGTCGTTCTCGGTCCGGCAGGGCTGCCGCCAAGCGCGCCTCTGCTGCGCTACGTAAGTTCAAGCTTTCCCCGACTATTCACCTTTAGTCGCGACGTGGGAGCTGCATAGCCCGTAATTTGATTCCGTGAATGGCTTGCAACATGACGGAGACGGAACATCTGCTCGAAGCTTCTCCCACGGCTCGTTTACTTGTGGGATGCGAGCGCATGGCGCCTCAATGGTTTCCTCCTCGCTTCGCGTACCCCTCCATTCCCAACAGCTACCCCTCGAACAAGTCGCTGTCCCAGCCATGGAAATTGTCAGAAATCACAAGTAAAAGCTGCTTGCTGACTGACTGGCGAACATAGAAAGCACGCCCAGAGCCTTTGAAGGCATCGACGATGACGAGCCCGTCCCCGAAGCTGTCGAGTCCGAGCCCGAGCATGAGGCGCCACCCGAAGAAGACGAAGAGGATGAGGAGGAAGAAGAAGAAGAGAAGGCAAACGAGTCAGGCGATGAAGAGGAAGCCGCCGACGAAGACGGAGAGGAGGAAGAGGAAGAGCAAGCAAACGACGAGGGAGAGGAATCTGAACCTTCAGCCAAAGAACCCACTCCCCCGGCCGAGCCTGTGGTGCGTCGCAAGCGACTAGGACGGCCTCCGAAGAACAAGCCACCGGGCTGGGACAACATGATCACGGTACCCGCATCCGAAGCCGACACTCCGCGACGTAGAGGTCGTGGAGGCTGGCGCGGCCGCGGCGGACGCCGGCCCGCGCCTGGACAAGCACCTCCCAAGCTCAAGCAGGTGATTGACAAGGAGGGCACAGAGGTCGACATTGTCGACGACGAGTGCGTGCTTCCCGAGGACGCGGAAGGCGAGACAAAGGTCGACAAGCTCGGTAATCTCCAGGGCGGCCGCCAGTACCGCTGCAGAACATTCACGGTCAAGGATCGCGGCGAGAGGCAGTACATGTTGTCGACGGAGCCCGCCCGTTGCGTCGGGTTCCGCGACAGTTACTTGTTCTTCAACAAGCACCCGAAGCTGTACAAGATTATCGTGAGCGACGACGAGAAGATGGACATGATTGAGCGGAATATCATTCCCCACTCATACAAGGGCCGTGCGATAGGTATCGTCACGGCGCGATCCGTCTTTGTCGAGTTCGGCGCGAGGATTATTGTGGGAGGTCGGAATATCGTGGACGACTACCGCGTGGCTGACATGCGCGCCTCTGGCATCATCGAGGGACACGTTGCGGACCCGTCAGACGTCTTCAACCCCAACGAGCCGTACAACACAAATCAGTATGTCGCGTGGTTCGGCGCCAGTGCCGTGTACCATACCAACCAAACACCGGCTGCTTCGGATCCTCTTGCTGGTTTGACAGAGGTGAAGAAGAAGAGGGTCAACGTGAATGATACGAACTGGCAACTGGAGCACGCTCGTGCTGCTAGGTGGGTTTATATACATCAATCATTACTGTGCCACATACTAACAAAGCTCAGCGAGTTCAACAGTCGTCTTAATGCCATCCGGATGGCAACACTGCGGAACGGCGCATACGACATTCACACCAACCTGATGCAGAAGCCAGTCAACACGCAACCCACTCGCGCCCGCGTCGAGAGGGTCACTCCCGGCAACACAAGCGATTCGAACAGCGCATTCCCCTCGGTACCCTCAGCTGTGCAGCGCAACTTCAACGTGGTGGACATTGTCTACGAAATACCGCGCGCGGGCGTCCAATCCGCCGGAAAGCGACCCGCCGAGGTCCCCGACTTCCTGAAACCCTTCAACGGCATCCTGGCCATCGGCGACGACCTCAAGGCCCTCTTGCCGCCGGAGTGCCGCGAATCCCTCGAGAGGCACCAGGACCAGCAGCGGGAGTTCGAGTCGCGCTTCGGCGACGAGAAGGACAAGATGGCAAGGGGTAACCTGCAGATCGACAAGGCGATTGTGCCGCAGGGCAAGCACTCTTAGAAGGAGCTGATTGCGATCCCCGGCTTCTATCCCGCGCCTGACGGCCGCTTCGCATCGGCGATGGGCAGGAACGAATGCAGCTTTTGCGGTGGTAATGTGAGGGTGTGCGGTCACGGGAGGGAGAGGAGGGCGGTGTTTCATACGAGGCATCTTGGTGCCGTCAGGGCTGAAGCTGTTGCTGCTCGGAAGATGATGAAGTCGGAGTCTTTTCAGGGCAAGATGCCGAATGGACCGCCTTCCCTTTCCAAGATGGCGAGCGCGGGTGTTGAGTCACCCAAGAGGGCGACGAATGGGGTTATCACCCGGGGCGTGAAGCGCTCTTCGGATGGACTTGGTTCAGGTGAGGCTGTGGGGAAGAGGGTTAAGATCCAGTCTGATGTATTCCGCGGTGGCATTTGAAGTTGAAGGTGAAGATGAACAAGGAGAGGCATGGTATGCTCGATGGAAGTTACTGTTTGCTTGTTTTGGGGGGGTTTCCCCGTTGGCCTGGCGTTTCTGGGGGGGATGTATATGGTGATGGAATGGTTTCAGGGGTGACCAGCACTACCTAGGAGACTACGGGAAAACTATTGCTGTCGATGTTAATACTGCTTTTCCTCTTTCCCGCTGTTGAGAGGAGAGATTGGGGCGGCAGATCTGGGCGTGGCCTGGGATGAGAGTTGCTTCCGAGTTGCTTCCGTGAGGGAGGTATTGAAGAGAGGAAACAAGTTGTATGTAGGACTAGCATGATTCATGAATGGCTTATAAAGGATTTGCCTCAAGTTTACTTGTCTTGTCTTAGCTTCTTTATGTCTGAGAAGAAAGGCTGAGCTATTCGGTCTCGCCCCCAAGACATCATTGATTCCTAACCTATGTCAATTTAAATTACCAGTGACCAGGACAAGAAAAACTCTTACAATAATAGGTAGGGAACGGGTCTTTTTTTAGCTAGCACACTATTTTACCTGCACACTTGATTGCAAAGGTCCACCTGTGGGTTTGTATACCCTCAGCGGGTCTCGACTGCTCAACCAACTATCACTGGGTGTCAACATCCACACTTCCCCGATAGTCTAGTGGTGAGGATATCTGCTTGTCACCGGGGAAATCCCATGATTCGCAGGGGACCGGGGTTCAATTCCCCGTCGAGGAGTATTCTTTTGCTTTTATGAGTCATCGCGACGATGTGGTGGTGTTTATGATGCTTTTGTTGTGGTATTGAGTTGTGAGGATGTTGGGGGATGTTGGGGGGGGGGGGGGGGTGGGGCTTTCGGCCAGCAAGATGAAGTAATGCCTGCGTGCTGGGAAGACAAAAGAAATATCAGCCAGTTAATTAACAAGTGTACAGTCGCCCAGAGGGATTATCGTCGTTCATCTGTCGATGGGCAATACCCCCTCTCATTGTCAAATCCTATGCCGACTCGGCGTGCTTCATCTTGACGTCTTCCTGTCCTTCGCTCGCTTCACTATAGCTAGGTGTGCCCTCCACCTCGAGATCTTGCACCTCGAGGCCCTTAATATCATTCTTAAGCTTCGTAATCTCCTCAACGATGACTGTACCGTAGAGAAGAGAAAACTTCTTTGAGATGGTGCAATAGAGTCCCTCGATGTATGCGAGCGCTTGGTTTTTCTCCCGTATCACTAGTTGGCTTGGGGTCTCGCCCGATGAGGCTGGGTATTCTGACCGTTCTTCTCATCTTTAATACTCGGCACCTGTTCCGTATTCATAAATGTATATATCACGAGTAGGGCACGAGAGGTAAAGTGTAAGAGGTAAGGGAATGGGAGGAAGAGAAGAGAAGTAAGGCACGATAGACAAAGCGGCATCAAGACCGTTGAATTGGACTTGTGTGAGAAGCCCTAGTTCTGTATATAAGAGGAATCATGGAGTATGATCCCGACTGGGAGCTCGCTCGCTGGCTCCAATGTTTCGGGTTGGACGAGCAGGTCTACCCAGTTTACGACTGGTAATATGTAGTATCTCCCGCTCTCGGACCGCCTTTGAATGTCTAAAGGCTCTCTTAAACAGGTCGACAGCGTTCTTCATAAGGCTGCTTGATTACATAGTGAGCTGGAATGGGCGAATGAGACCGCTCTGTTCTGAGGTTCAAAAACTTGAAAGATATTTGACAACACGGCAAAGGTGAGATCCTCGAGGCCCAGAAGCTTCTTTACTTCAGCTTTCCATGTTGAGCAGATTTCTCCCCTGATCCTGCTCTATCTTCATGCCAACTCACACTCAATAAGCGACTCGGACCCCTCCCCCCTAGACCAGATCTTGACGATCCTCAACCCAGCAGCTCCCTCCAGCAACTGATACCACTCCTCCTCCGTCCTCTCTCTCGACGCAAACACAGTCATCATGACCATGTCGAGCGCCGTGACCTGCCAATCTGCGCCCTTGGAAGGTATAACGTTCTCGTTGATCAAGAGCTTGCTATACCCTGCCCTCATCGCAGCCTTGACCCGCGCAAGAATACTCTCGCAGACCTCGTCTGTCCAGTCGTGCAGTACAGAGTGGAGATAATACGCCCTCGCGCCCTTGACTGGTTGCTCGGTATTAAAGTCATACGGCATAAGCTCAATCTTGGGGTCGAGGTCCTGGACTTGCGCTTGTGAGAGAACGTGAGGGAGATCTTGTAGGACATGCCGGCCCGGCGCGGAAGGTTGCTTGCGACAGAACTCGTCCAGGTCGTGACCGATGCCGCCTCCGATGTCGACGATGAACGCCGCATCCGATGAGGTGGTGTCTGCGCCGTTGACGAGGCGCTCGACTACGGGGTAGAAATCCGGGTCCATCCAGAGTCTCCTCCCCTGGCCGTATCCTTTCATGAACTGCTGAAACTCGCCGGCGGGGTACTTTTCCATGATATGTGTGAAAAAGTCCTTGTTGCTGCCGATGGCGTCTTGTAGAGGTCCTGTCCCTGGTGTGATTCTCCGCCCGTTCTTCTTGAGATACGTGGGGAAGTTGCAAAAGGTAGGCCACACGCCGCCGACTCTAGAAGAGGCCGTTAGTTGCCCCCAAATCTTTCATGTTCGGCTGGCTGATGTAGACTTACACGCAGGAGTAGGCGCTTCCAATGATGGGGAGGGTCAGTGATTTCGAAAAGTGGTTCGTCTCGTACTCGTCAACGCCGGTCTCGCGTAGATATCCGGTCGACGCCAGATGCCGCATCGAACGCGCCAGTAGATCTTTCTCGAAGTCTAATTTTGCGGTGAGTTGGGCTACGGTCTTGGGCCCTGGGTTTCGGGCCATGTAATCGAAGAGACCCGATTCAACTCCAGAGGCGATGGCGCAGCCAGTGGCAGGCTGTGTATCAAGTTCAATTAGCAAATTTCGCCGTCTATTCGCTTTGAATGACCTTGTAATACCTGTGCCCACAGGTGCTTGATCATGGTCTCTCTGGGTGTCTCTAGAGCCTGGACCAGCAAACGAGCTTGCTTCAAAAGATTAAGGCGATTTTGCTCATTGTCGAGAGAGGAGACGCCCAACGTGCTGATGCTATTCAACAACGTTGCCACATCTTTTAGGTTGCTGGGTTGAGTAGCCATGTCGACTGAGACACCATGAGGAAGACTTTCCAGGACTGAGCCCATGGCGGATGATCAATATTACGGTATGATGAAGGGTCGTGTGATTCAGTAAGGTATGTGAAAGAAAATCTGTTTTCAATGCTGGTCGCAAATACGTCGGATATGATTTTGATTACATGGGGTATTGGGCAGTGGTGCAGGACATCGCCGAGCATATTTGTATGCTTTTCTTTGCATATACCCATATGTTCTTCATGTGAACCCTTGACGAGAACCCATGTCCGATGAATCTTTTCCCATGATCGCCAAGATTCAAACACGGAAGCTCCCATCTATTCTACACGCTACCATGCAAGGTTCTGCTGCAACTCTGGACCAACAGACCTGTTTCTCATGCATCGTTGCAACAGAACCGTGTCCAACAGTCGTCTGTGGGGTGAAGCAACCCGGAACCACTCCAGTTTGAACGGGAAGGGTTCATTCGCTACGTGTGTATGAGCCTGTTCGAAACCAGAAGGATCTTGTTGGTCCAACAAATATTGGTCCATCCTAGTTACGCAGCATCTTGATTCTGTGGACCGGGTAATCTGATGGTCTGATTATCACATCTTCGGCTGGAAACCCCGAAATATCTGACTCGATCGGTTGGAAGCATCTGAAAATGGAGGAGATGTGATTCCTGGATTCCGGTTCCAGAACAGCAGCCAGGCCGGCGTGCGAACTCTGGGATGCGCAGTTTTTCATCGCAGATGGTATCTGTGTTCCCCCTTTCTCGTCCGTACTTTCTAGAATTGACTTTCTTCGATCCCATCAATTCTCAATTGCCGCCTTTCCACAAGAGCAATGTCAACATCAACATCAAATGACACCGAGAATAAGGGACCTTCCTCCCTGGGGATCATCGTCTCAGTCACGGCTCTCAGCACCCTCTTCACTGCAGCAAGACTCTATGTACGGGGCGTGATACTCAAGAAGGTCCATTCAGATGACTTCCTCATCGTGGCGTCAGTAGTGAGTTGTCTCAAATCAAATACCCCAATATTGGCTGTCTGACTAGGTTCGCCAACCTTACATAGATCTGTAGCTGGGTGAGCGTCGCGACCGCCGTGGTTGCTGTATCACATGGCATGGGCCTACACTTCGAGCTCTTGACCACCCAGCAAAAGTCCGGAGCCATCTTTTGGACAATCGCTGGCTTCCCAGCCGGCGTCATGTCGTTTGGCCTACCCAAGCTCGCCGTCGTCGCCCTCCTGACGCGAATCTTGAACCCGAGTCCATGGCACAAGACGTTCCTCTGGGCCCTGTCACTCTTCTGCCTGCTCAACCTGACGGCCAACATGATTCTCCTCTTCACACATTGCCAGCCAACGCAATCGCAATGGGACTTTTCCGTGCCTGGTCACTGCCTGAATAAATGGATATTGGTCTCGTTTGCTCTTTACACGGGAGGTACGAGGCTAAGTTTACCTTGATAATGAGGCCAAGTTAATGCAACGGCCTGCTGACGTGTGAGATAGCCTTTGGCGCCTTTGTTGACTTGTACCTCGCTGTCTATCCAGCATTGGTGCTTGCGAGACTACAGATGAGCATCAAGAAAAAGGCAGCTTTGAGTGTTGCGCTGGGCATTGGGTCTATGTAAGGAGTCAGTCGGTAGCCATCACGACAAGAATGTGCTGACATTGGTTAGCTCGTCCGTGGTCGCGGTCTACAAATGCACCCGCGTCCCAAGTCTTGCGAGCAGCGACTTCACATGTATGTCATGGGCTCGCTTCCACTGCCATCTATGCTCTTCAGGCTGATGATATCCCTCCAGACGATACGGCGGACTTGGTAATTTGGACAATGTGAGTAAGAGACGAGCCATCCAAAGTGCACGCAACGCTAAT